ACATCTTTAAATCCAATATAATTGAAATAAACCAAAGAACTACTGGATAGTTGTTTGGCTTTTTCTGCAATCATATTTAATTAATTTCTAAATAATTTTTCCTAGTGAGAGACATTAGGTGCCATCTCTTATTAAATGTAATAATTATAATTAAATTAATATTTATTAAATAATTTAGAAAATTCTGGAATAAAACTATTATATATATATTCAACAATTTTGTGGTGTATTATCACTATTTGTAATTTATAATTTCTTTATTAATTTTTTTGTATTTTATTTTATGTTATTTTTAGCTAATTATCATTGATTCATATTTAAAACATTTCTGAGAACATTAAAATTTAAATTTAAAAGAATTCTACTACATAAATGTTTAATTTTGAGGATGGTAACTCAGATAGCTGAAAATGTTTGATAAATAAAAAAGTTGTTGCTGAAATGGGTTAGATCCTTTTAGATTTAAATTATGCTATCATCAAAGTAGTTGACTTTTAATGCTTGTGACAGCCTACAATTAGGTGTGACATATATTCCTATTGTATAAATAGATGAAGATGCATGCACAAGACAAAAACACTGATAACTCAAAACCAGTTATTTGTGGAATTATGTCTAGGACTATGCTAAATCAAAATTTTGATACTGATTTTCAGCTTTATATTGAGATTTCTTCAATATATCAATATTGATATTGTTAACATACATTGATTTCAATTTGATACATTGATTAGTGCAGTACTGCTTATATTCTTTTTTAACTGACTTCTTCCTATATATATATATATTTATTTTAAACTATTTGTACCTGGCCATGCGTTGCTGTGGCTCAAAATGTATCTATTATAAATGTATAACACTTCCCACGGGAGGGAATTTTGAAAAATTCCTTCTTAGTGTACATTCTCTTGGCATTTCCTTATTAAAATGCAATCAAAAATGCAAAAAACTGTATCTAAAATAGTATAATAGAAGCTGAGTTCTTCACGGTAAGCCTTAATTTTGTCCCTCTCCCCCACGGGAGAGGGAATTTCAACATCTGTATAATATACAATCTATATAATACACAATCTATATAATACACGTGCACTGCATATCTCGCCAACCACGCGACTGTGCCGCACGGTTACCTATCTCGTATACATACACATCTTGCCCCTCACACCCACTGACACCAAAAATAAAACACTTACCTAGATGACATTTTTTAATTTATATGAATGTTTAACAGAATAGTATACAGCCTATGTCCACACTGAAGGTACATTCTAAATATTGGTGAAATAATTTTTGAAATCGGATGAGTAGTTTCGAGATTACCTCCTACATCCAAACTTACAAACTTTATCTCTTTATAATATTAGTATATATCAGTGGTTCTCAACTGGGGTCCACAGAAAAAAAATACTGAATTGGGGTTTACAGTGATATTTTAGTAGTCTGTAGGATAATTCTACTTCAAAACAATTGTTTTACTGAGAATTAAATTTCTACAGTATATACAGTAGATTGTCAATTTATTTATTACTCATTTCTTGCATAAGGGTTAAAATATAAATTATTTAAAATATTGAATATGTAAATGACATATATATCTCATTGACAAAGGTCAAAGAGAGATTATAAAACTGGGGTCTGTTAGGAGAATCTTATACCATCAGAGTTATGTCACTTGACAGTGACATTTCTGAATGTTTTGCATCAGTTTGTTCCAGATTTTGAAGATTAGGGAGGAAGGCTAAACTTTATAGCCTCCCTCCAGTATAAAGGTAATCAGTTTATTTTAACCCTAACCTTCAGTTCTGTGAAAACTACATCTTGACAAGGTAAGAGGTATTAAAAGTGCTAGTTCATAAATACAGTAGTTACTTTTTCTGAAATTCAGAGCTTCAGTATTAAAACATTTTTCCAATTTGAAACAATGTAACAAAAAAACTATAAGGTTTTTTTTCTGTGCAATCTATGGGGAGTCCACAAAAAACAATTAAAAGGAAAAAGGGTCATGGGTAAAAAAAGTGTTGAGAACCCCTGGTATAGATTAACAAGTTTTTATTAGTCTTTTACAATTCAGTGACCTTACTAAATAAATTTATTGTCTGATTATTAGAGTTAAATTTGTTTCTTTCTTTATGTATTTATACATGTTTATAAAATATAATTAAAATATAATTACATTTCTTTATTTTATTATGCTTGTGATATTTTATTTTGTAAAAATAGTTAATTTTATTATGACATAGAAACATTTTTATTCATTAATAAATTAAAAACACTTGACTTTGCTAAAACGGAAAGTGCGTTTAAATTACACTCACACAAAGTTTATTGAATTATTCAATTAGTTATTATGTATTAATGGATCCTGTAATCTAATTGTTTTAATAAAAATTCATTTTAATGGAAAGCTTATACAATTAATACAAGAAAAATTAGAGGAACAAAATGTACTATTTTAAAATATAAAACAAGATATACACAGCCAATATAATTTCTTATTAATCATGAATGTTCAATTATATTTAGCTCATTAGTATTCGACAATAAAATATAATTTTATTATTGAAATAAATCAAGAAATTATCAGGTCATTGAAATCACTTTTATTTGATTTTAATAATCTATGTTCAATAAAATTATAAGGTTAAGTGGGAAAGGGTTAATACTCTATAATTAATTAATTAAAATTTTCTAGTATGATTTATCTGTGAATTTTTACTTCAGAAATTTTTTCAGGACCCATATTCTGCAACGTTAGGTGGGTTTTCCAAAGTGACTAATTTTCTTTTTGACTACTTGCTGCCGAATGGTAACCAACCAACAGGATGTTCAGTGGAAGAAGTAGCAGAGTTGCTTCATGACAGTATTCCTAGTGTTGAATTTAATGAGCCAGGGTTTGAAGTTATTTCATGTGTAAGTAATGCTTTTATGATTGTAATGTTTGAATAATTTAAAATTAGTAAAAATCTCCAGTGTTTATTTGTAGATAGAGCTTCCTTCCCGCCCAAAAGTGCAAAGGTCTGAACCGGTCACTCGAGAAGAATGGTTATCTAATATTGATCCAGAAGGCAGAATCAATAATGTTGCAACATTAAAGAGAAAAATTTTTAAAGGGGTAAAGATTATTAATGGTTTTTGTTTATGTAGTTATAAGGATAGCATTTTACTAATGAAAATGATTTCAGGGTTTGACTAGTTCAATTCGATCAGATGTATGGAAATTTCTGCTAGGTTATTATAGTTTTAATTCTACACAGAATGAAAGACAGCTTCACAGAAAGCAGAAAGAGTAAGTAACGTTTAATTTTTCTCTGTATGTATACAGTATATGCATCGGTAAATTATGATGTATAATAATTTATTATATTGTAATTAATGCAAAAAATATATTTTATAATTATTTTTCCATTGACAGAAACGATTACTATAGAATGAAACTTCAGTGGAAATCAATTACTCCAGATCAAGAAGCAAGATTCTCAGCATTGAGAGATCGGAAAAACCTTGTAGGTAAGTGAATGCAATTGTATTAATAATTGTTAAAACTTTTTTTATGATAATTAATTTTTAAAAACAATATAAAATTAATGACTGCATTAATTTGTTTATTTATGTGAAGAAAAAGATGTTAGTCGTACTGATAGAAATCATCCATTCTTCAAGGGAGAAAACAATTCTAATATACAAATGTTATATGATATTCTTATGACATATTGCATGTATAATTTTGATTTAGGTAAGTAATATTTTTAGTTTATAAAATATAAAATTTATTCGATCATTATGTTTGTTAATTATATTTATTGCAAAACCCTGAAAAAGTTATAAATATTTATGTTGTATAAAAATTACAGCNACATATCTTTTGGGACATCAGTCAGTTATAAAATAAAGAATAATTCTTTTGGTGAGTATAATCTTACATAAGAATTAATTTTAAACAAACAATGTGAAATAGATTTATTGTATTATTCTGCATAATTCAAAGCAGTTATTTTTGTTTTAAAAATATTTTTAATAATTACATATTTGTAAATGTATGAAGAATATTAAAAAAATATATATTTTAATTTTTATGAATATAAGAGATGGATTAAGTTCTGCAACTTATACTTTAAATCATGTGTTACAGAACAATTCTTACAACTGTTTTTCATTTAATGACAACTATTGTGAGGTAGTAGTAATAGTTATTTTCTGGCACCGATGCCATGATATACAATTGAACAAATGATTTTGTATAAGCATGGTCTAGGAGAGATTTCCCAGAGATGACAACTTTTCGGCTGATAAATTCCCAAATCTGGTGAAAGAACCAGACATTTTTGGCAGGACTTTTCATTTGTAATACTCTTCTTTGCATTTCACCCAAAAACACTCAATGTACATGCTTATGAGACATTTGGAGTAGTTGTCCTTTGTGTGTATCTATTCAACCTCTTTGCTGTCTAAGAATACTTTCACATAATGTGATGTAGCTAAATCTGGCCAGCAAATGTCATCCCTAGAATAGTGCTTATCAATGAAGGAAAGCAATCCTTTTTTTTCAAACATTCCTCCAGATAAACCTGAGCAGTAATGGTACCTTCACAAATAAAATCATCTGAAATGTTCCAAGAGGGATCCATGGCTGGCAAAATGAGTTATTTCTTGTAGAATTTTTCCTCAAGCTGGACTTTTTCCAATTTTCTGAGGATTTGTAGCATAGTAATATTGCTTTTCCTGGTTGTTTCCAGGATCGGATGGGTAATAAGTTGTCTTGTGAATAATGGAATGCTTCTTCAGACATTTTTCATAAACTTTTCTGCATCCTCTTTTTGCTTGGTCCTTTAAATACTTCAGTGCAGTTTGCTTCTTATGTCCCTTGATTGCCAACTTTTTGACTTTGATATCATGTAAAGTTGTTTTTGGCAACAACAATTTTGACAATGCATTCTGATGGAAATTGATAGAGTCCATTGATACATCTTTCTGACTTGATTAACAACTTTTGGAGTGACTTGAGAGATGAAGCAACCAGGAAGTGGATTGTAATAGTCTTGTCCCATCCCATTTTTTCATATTTTTGCAAAATGGTGTACAAAGTGGTTTTTCTCATATCTTGTTCCATAAAAGGGCAACAGTTTTTTTCTTACTGCTTCCCAATGTATTTTCATAATACTGAATGACACTTTTGGCGATGAGCTTGTTCTCACATCTTTTTCCCATGTTGTATCATTAGCAGAACTTTTATTCCATGTGTGACAAGGCATGTCACAGCATGATTCAACTGTCTTCAGTTGCAGGCCTGGAATTACTTTTGTTTATCTATTTTCTGTTCACCTCTTATTGTAGAATTTTAATTCAAATGTATTTAAGATTTGAAAAGTCACTATGATTATTATTATTTCACATATTGTACAGAATGTTTCCAAAGATAATTCAATAAAATATAACAAGAACCCAAAATTTATCACAAAGAAAACAATGTTTAATTTGAAACAAATGTGTTTGGTAGTTTTAAAGAACTGAATAATTCTATAACAAATAATTCGAGATAAGTTTATATTTAAAGTTGGATATTAATAAACATAATGTTTAGAATGTTATCTGTTTTATTTTTAAAAATCTTCAGTTTAAAATTAAAAATTTTGAAGATTTAATTATTATTATTTTTTTTTCTCCATTTCTAATTTTTTACATTTTTGTATAGTGGAACAGAACAATATTATTTCATTTTATTGGCATTTATTTCCTTTTGAATAAGAAAAATATTAAAATTACTGTACAGTGATACCTCGATATACGTCTGCTTTAGAATACATTCAATTCAGAATATGTCCTGTTTGGATGAAACAAATTTTGCTTAGTATATGACTTTTGTTCGGTATACGACTTAATTCAATTATACGCGTCATCTATGAACAAGTAGCACTATCGGTGTATTAGACCAGACTAGACGTTCACTGTGCCACGGTTTATAACTTTGTTAAATTTCTTCTGATTTTAATTTGTAAGTAAAATTTTATTATTTATATTAATCATGAATTACAAAAAGGCAAATGAAAAGCAACAGAAAACTAAAAAAATGACTATAATCACAATGGTACTGAAAAAAGAGATTGTTGAGAAATATGAAGGTGGCATGCGTGTTCAAGATTTAACTGTTGCATACGTATTCTGAGAACGACGATATCGACAATCGTGAAAAATAAAAACATTATTAAATCTGCTGACATTGCGAAAGGGGTTAAATCAATTTCTAAACAGAGATCGAAGACATTAGATCATGTTGAGATATTGCTTATGCTTTGGATAACTGAAAAACAGTGTGTTGGCGACAGTGTATCAGAAGCAATTATTTGCGAGAAAGCTTAAAAGATACATGCTGATCTCATGAAAAATCAAGCAGGAACTAGCCAGGAAAGCGAGGTGTTTAAAGCCAGCCATTTTTTTTACATGAGAATGGATTAATCATTTTTACATTACTTCTTATGGGAAAGGTTGGTTTGGTATA